CCCCAAAACCCCAAAACCCCAAAACCCCGAAAGAAAAATCATTTTTCCAACTTATAATAAAAAATAATGATAAATTTGAATAAATTAATTAAATTCTTGTTATGATTCAATTCCAATTCTCTTCAAGTTTAAATTAGTTGTCATTCTAGTTCTATTAAAGCTTTATTACAAGTTTCTCCTACTTAACCCACGTGGCTTAACTCTACCTTGGCATCCCTTGATACTCTTCTTTTAATTCTAGAAATGAAACTTCACTATCTTCTTTGACCACCTCATTTTAGACTTTCAACTGGCTCTATTTTTTCATGACCGGACCTTTTTAGTCTTTCTAACCTCCCTTAATTTTTCCTTTTGAGTTTCTAGAAATATTTGCATTGCCTAGCTCATTTAATCCTCCAAAATTCTTTTCTTTTGCTTGAGGCTTTGAATTTTCGGCAGATAATTCTTTTTCCATAAAATTAAATCTTTTGGTTTTAGGCTGCTTTTAAGGAAGTAACTTTGAAAGATTTTTTCTGTTTAGCCTTTTACTTAAAGTGAGTATCTCAAAACTTTCATCATCCTTCAGATTACTGGCACAGCCTCTAAATCTTTTATTATTGTCATCAGAGTCTTCAAATACTTGACCATAGTAATGTAAATTTTTAACTCGTCCTATTATGAATAATTTAATGAAATTTAAGTTTACTGGGTTTTCTACATCCTTAAGAAAGGGTCTCAGGAATTATAGTCTCTGAAAGTTATTCAAGCTCATCAAGCTATTAGGACAGATTATTATCAGTAGATTAATAATTTCTAAAAGCCTCACTCCATATATCATAATTAAGTCCGCATTCCTCAAGGAAAGGTTTTATTGATGAACTTCTATAAACATGCCTCTTTACTTTACAGCTTCCTCTTATTTTTTCTGCTAACTTCCTCACTCTCTATTAAAAATATATGATTTATTAATATATTTACCACTTTGAGTTCTTCAGGTTGTCAGCGATACATAGAGTCTAGTAACTCGGTCATCAATACTTATTCCTTGTTTTCTATAAGTTATTTAAAATTCATAAATACATTCATAATATTCCAGCAGCTTATCTTTAATCAATGTTCTAAATAGCCATCTAGGTTGAACTTAAATAGGGGCATCAGGCTTGTAATTTCCTCTTCTATATTTGGCATGAGAATTTGCACCTCTTAATGTCTTTTTGCCTTTCTTTTACGATTTAAAGCAATTTGGTCTGAATGTTTCATCTCTATTTTTCTTGCTGGTTAATTCAGTTTGATCTAGTTGAATTACTTTCTAATTTTTTTCAAATGAGTTATCTTTTTCTGTCTAAGCAACTTTTGGAATATCTTTTACTGAAATAAAAGTATCAAGAGTTACGTCAGGTGCTGTAGTGTTTCTATGATTTTACTATGACTATGGTATTTTTACTTCTTCTTTAGATTTTGCTTTTTCACATTCCTACGACTATTTCAATTCGCATTCGTTCAAAGTTTCTATTTCCTCCTCTGGGTTTATCAAGCTATAAGTTAGTAATTTCAATTTAGGCTCTTTTCTTCTTTTTTTCTTTGGTATATGTTCCTATGAGTCTTATTATTCCTATTTGAAAGGATTGAAATAAGACAGCTAAGATTCGATATTATCTTATTTGACTGTAAGATCTAAATGGATCTCTTCTTTTTACTTAATTATTGGGGTTATTTTTTAAGCAATTTCTTTGTATTATTTGATTGTTTCCTACTAGGTACTAATAGTCTTTGCTTGATAATCAAAAGCTGACTCAATAGGATATTTATTCAGATAATGATTGCTTCCATAATTAGACTATTGACTATAAAACATATTTTGACTTTGGATTTGAGATTTTGATGGCAAATGACTCACGAAATCTCACTGATAATTTGTACTTCCATAGTCTAAAATAGCATGATTAAATATGAGTGATTATATTTTACGAAAATTGTAGTAATAGTTAACTTCACTTTCGCTTGATTTCATATCATTAAGAAATGTAAATATTCTACCACACACTCCTCGTACAAAGTTGACTTCATTATTATTAGCAGCACTTGTCATGTTAATATCTCTTAAGACCCTATAAGTATTAAACTATTTGCATTTACAATAAAGAGATTTCAAATTTTAGGCAAATCACAATTTTTAGCAAATTACTCAGACTCACTTATTTACGAATATTTAAAGAAAATTAAGATTAATTTTGAGTTTTTTAATTAATTAGAAATAGTAAAAATATTATGTCAATTTTATATCGATTTGATTCTCAGTTTGAATTATTTATTCTTCATTTTGCTATCCCAACTTATTCTACTTTCTTATAAACTAAGTATCTTGTGAAATTTAGGGTGTTAATTTTATCATAAAGAACTGGATATACCAATGTATCGATATAGCAGTACCATTCATTTTTAGCTAGATGCCTGTTATAAACAAAGTATCTCTTGTCTTTACCTTATTCTGTTACAATACTAATTAGTTCATACTGGACACCATCAACAGTAATTTTTAGTCCAGGTATATTTAGTTAAATAAGATAATCTATAATGACTTCACCTTTTTATATTGATCGCTCTATCCCAATGATAAGATATTAGGGATGATGAGTCATATCTACTCTCGATATAATCTTTTTCAGATGGCATTTCTGACAAATTTACTCTTTATCTTTGTAAAAGTTTTCAGCTAATAAGTCATTCAAATTTTTAGGTTCCTACTTGATCTGTGGTTTTAGTTACTTTATATTCTTAATTTGTTAATGCAGGTATTTATAATATTTTCTCATTTCTCTGGATATATTTTTATTAGTAAAGACAATCTATATTTATTTATATCCCATCAGAATAGTATTCTTATCATTATAGTGATCATAAATGTGCTCTTTGGATTCACTTATTACAATTTTTAATTTAAACAAAGATTCTCTCTCATAAGTGTTGAAACTTATCTGAAATGCTTGATCATCTCCAAGATTTTAATTAAAATTTATGTCTCTAAACGCCTGCTTCTCAAGGTCTTTTCTAATCACTGAGAAGACAGATCTGAATGCTTCATAAAGAGTCTATTTATACATGCTAGGTACATTTAGAGGAGCCATCAAAACTCTGCCTTTATGATCAACTACTTTGACAAGTTAAAAATTAGGACAAGGGCTTTAAGTTGTCTTTATGACATAGCCATAAACTTGCAATTTTTAATTATGCTTAAGAGTTATTTTGGGATGCTTCTAAGCTTGAAATATATGCTCTACATTCATTCGCTTATCCATTTCCACTAGAACTAAATCATTCTCAGGTGATAGCTCCAACTTTTACTTAATCAATTTTAGAAGTTCATTGAAATGATATTTCTTAGGCTGCATGAGTAGCTAAATTGTCCTATACTTCAATTAAATATTTTCTTGGTCTTGATCTATCAGTGTTATATCAATTATAGAATATTCAATTGTTTCTTGATTAATTTTCAATTTTAAGGTACTTTGTTAGCTGAATTTTGTTTCTTAAAAATTGCATTTCCCACATTGTTATTTTCTTTGAACCAAATTTCCCATGGATCTAATTTGGGCAGGTGAGCTCCTAAAAGTCGATTCTGAGATGTCACTTTTTATTCTTTGTTGATAGTCTAAATCAAAGCTTCAAATATATCCATTTATAGATAAACTGACTTGTCAAAATGCTGCATCAAATAAATAGCAAATTTTTAAGCATCCTATGCTTCTTAAGAGTTATAAATCAATTTCAAGTATTGCACTAATAAGTTAGTGAATGGTGTACCATCTGTAAATTGATATTTATTGCAAAGATACTCTCTGACATTGTAAAGATTTTTTACAACTTGAATGAAAGCAAATACTCTGTTCTGAATCTATTGCTGCTCAGGTTTGTATCCAGTTTTATCTAGATAAAAGCCACTGCCTATTACAAAGTCATGTTCAAAATTAAAGCCACTTGCTATCACTATATCTTTATTCTTAAACCTTTTAAATCTCTGCTGATTTTCATCTAGGATTGAGAAGACTGTGTTCTCAAATCTAATCTCTTTCTCAATGAAATTAATAGCTTCACTTAGTCTTTTCATTTTACTCCTGCCTAGGATGGGATATCTGTAGTGTTGATGAATAAGAGAAGAATATATAAATTTATTTAAAGAATGTTATTGAAGCTCCAATAATTGGTTAAATATGTAAAGCGGGGTTTTGGGGTTTTGGGGTTTTGGG